AATAATAAAAGGGGATTGGTTTTTTCCTGTGGTTCTAGCCTGCTTGTTGGAAGAGGGGTTTCTCCTTAACAAGGACTCACGTAGGCTGGGACAGAATAGCTACCTCCCCAACCCAGTCCCAGTCTGGGACAGAGAGCCCGCAATCCACCACCGGTGCCTGGTCCTGAACCTGGGGGCGCAGGCTGGTGACCACTGCCGGCCCCCTGGTTTGAGGCTCACCCATGGAGGTACCCATATAGTGGGGCCTGGATACCTGGATTTTGGCCAGCACCAAGGCCACCTCTGCTGCCACCACTGAAGGCAACATTCGATGGGAACCCTGAGAAACTAGCGTTCTTCCTCATTCAAGTCTGAACCCATCTCAACCAACATGGAGATTACCTTAATGACCAAGCCCAGGTGGATGTTGAAGGTGCCCCTATGATGAAGGTGCCCCTGAGCTGGCAGATCCAGATGTTTTTTTTTAGGCCTCAGGGCCCGATTAAGGGACCCTGCACAGACCCAATGAGTGGAAGTGGAGGTCCGGAAGGTCAAACGGGAATAGATCCATGACTAACTATATTAGAGACTTCAGGAGGCTGAGGCACTGCCTAGAGCAGCTCTTGACCCAGTACTTCTGAGAGGGGCTGAACCACAACCTGTTTCACATGTGTCTGACCTGAAGAATCCCAAACCGACTTAGTGACTGGTACCAGCTAATCACTGCTGTGGAGTTAGACCTGGCAATGTACAAAGACAGTGGGGGCTCCAGACTGCAACTGAAGAAAAGCCAACAGAGGTGCACTTTAGGGGAAAAAAACTGCTAGAAGCAGCGTCCCTGGTTCCTGCAGGACCAGCCCACTGCGCCCCCATCATGTGCTTTCACTGTGGCCAGAAGGGTGACAGGGCCATGATGTGCCCACCACAGGCTCCTCGGATGGCTCCCATAGCAGTGACTCCCTTTAAGCCAAAGAAGCCACCAAAGAAGGGGAAGGAGAAATCACAACCTAGGTCTCCCTCCCCCTGAGAACAAAGTGGATGGAATTTCAACTGAAGAGGGACCGCTGATGGTCCTTTGTGGCAGTGAGAGTGAGGGAGAGGACGACCTAATTGTGAGTGGACCTGTCAACCACCTTGAAGTTAGGGACGACCTCAAGGCATCTCTCTCAGGGGCAAGGGGGATGTTAAAGGCCCTCATAGACTCTGGCTGTTCCTGTTGCCTAATTAGTCAAGCCACAGTGCAGAGGCTAGAACTACATGTGAGAAAACTCAAGAAATCTGTGAAATTCAAACAGGTTGATAACATGCTGATAGGAGGCAAGGCCACTTCCCATCTGATGGAGCAGGTGCAGCTAGACAGCAGAGGATATGATCCTGGGCCTGGCTTGGTTAGCCAAGCAGGTGCCCTGGATCTATTGGGAGAAAGCCTCAAAGCAAATGATTATGAGAAAGCAAGCCCTGAGCTACCATGACAAGCGAAAGAAACACCCCGAGAAGGTGGGGGGGGGGGTGTGAGGAAAACTGAGCGTAGCAAGGGAGCATCAGAGGGGAAGAGCAGAAATCCATCCTGAGGGAGTACTGAGACCTCATGGAGGCATTCAGTGAGAAAGAACGCAACATCCTCCCCCTTACCACCCCACAGACTGTACTATCGAGATCCTGCCCAGGGTGAAATTCCCCAAACCCAAGATGTATTCCATGACTATGAAGGAGATGAAGGAGCTGAGGGACTACATTGATAAGAACTTAGAGAGAGGATTAATTCAGGTGGTGAAATCTTGAATATGGCACTGGTACTCTTTAAAGAAAAGAAAGATGGGTCTCTGAGTTTGTACGTGGATTTCCATGGGATTAACAGAGTGTGCATGGAGGATATGTACCCGCTCCCTCTTCATGAAGTTAGACATGATGGAGGCATACTAATGAGTGAGGATTAAGGAAGGTGATGAGTGGAAGACAGCCTTCAACTGCCCCCTTAGTAGCTACCAAATCAAAATGATGCATTTTGGGCTACAAGGGGCCCTGCTGTGTTCATGCAACTCATAAACAAGGTGTTGCATGAGCATCTTTATAAGGGGGTTCTAGTGTACCTTGATATCCTCATTTACACTGAAACCATGGACAAGCATGTGACGCTTCTGTGACAGGTGCTAAAAAAGCTATTGAACGCTAAGCTTTATGCCAAACTGTCTAAATGTGAGTTTCACAAACCTAGACTGGACAACTTGAGTTACCATGTGTTGTACAAGGGAATAGAGATGGACCCAGGGAAAGTGAAGTCCATCTTGGAGTGGCAAGCTGCACCTGCAAGCAACTGCAAAGTTTCCTGGGATTTGCAAATTTTTACAAGCAATTCATCCCCTCTTTCACCAAAATTGCCTTGCCAATCACTGAGTTGTTAAAGACTGGAAAAAGGGGTAGGGAGAAGCCTCAGCCAAATCAGCCCTTGAACTGGATGATGGAATGCCAAGCAACATTCAAAAGATTGAAGGGGCTATTTGCCATGAAACCAGTGCTAAAGCACCTAAGCCCCAAAAAGCCTTTCGTGATCCAGGCTGATGCCAGTGACATGGCTGTGGGAGCCACCCTCCTCCAACGCAATGGAGAGGGGAACTTACAGCGAGCACGTATGCATCTCGCAAACTAAATGAAATGGAACGACAATGGGCTGTATGGGAGAAAGAGGCTTTTGCGGTACAGTGGGCACTGCTAACTTGGAGACAATTCTTGGAAGGAAGCAAAGCCCCTTTGAAGTGTGTGGATTGATCATTAGTTTAAGCCCTGAACACACACCCCCGCACACTTTCTTCTAAACAAGTCAGATGGGTGCAGTATTTCAAAAGATTTGATTTTGAACTAAAATACATCCCAAGAGGGAAAAACTTCCTGGCTGATGCTCTATCCCGCATGCCACAATACAAAAGCACCCAGCAGGAGATAATAAGTGCTGTTGTTCCTGATAGCCAATAAGTGGTGCAAGCAACAACCAGATGGCAGGAAAAAAAGAGAAGGTCACCCCCCACCAATGCATTTGCACAACAGTTGAAGCAAGAGCTGTAAACCAATGCATGGTTTGTGGCTCACCAGAAAGAGTTGACCATGAGGGAGGGATAGACCTATTTTCCAAACAGGCCCATTTCATTGCCTGTATTGGCCTCCCCTTAGCCCAGAAACTAGTGAAGATGTTTTTGCAACACATCTACTGACTGCATTTCAGATCGTGGGGTGCTGTTGACTGCTACTGGAGGGAGTGTGTGAAAATGATTGGGTCCTTCCAGGGGCTCATTTCTGCTTTTCATCCAAGTACGAATGGATCAGCAGAATGAGCTAATGCCATAGTGGAGCAGTACCTGTGCTGCTATGTTAACAACCAACAAACAAACTGGACAGAGTTGTTGCCATTTGTAGAGGTGGCATATAACAATGCAGTGCAACGCAGTATTGGTTTCACTCCATTTAAGTTAGCCACAGGGGTGGAATTTGTGCCAATACCAGACTGCACTTAGGAGCCTTCCTTCTTGAGCACCCTTAAGCGGTTGGGTGGGTTCGTTCGAGTGGATCTGGGGCAATGCAAAGAAGGCTTAAACTAAGGCAGCTGAAAGTCAGAAAAAACAGGCAGATAAGAAACGAGCTCTCCAGGAGACGTTCCATGTAGGGGATAAAGTGTATCTGTGTACAAAATATCTTAAGCTGATATAAAGTTGGAAGAAGTTAGGACTGAAGTACATAGGTCCTTTCCCCATAGTAAAAGTCATTAACCCAATGACAGTAGAACTGAGACTACCAAGGTTGTTGGGTAAAGTGCACCCAGTATTCCTCTGCAGCTTACTGAAGCCATACAAAAATCCACACTGAGACCAATAGGGACGGTGGCCCCTTCCCCAATAGTGTTAGAAGGTGAAACACATTATGAAGTTAAGCAAATTGTCGATTCCAGAAACCATAAGGGGAAGTTGCAGTATTTAATCCAATGGGAGGGTTACCTGATGTCAGAATCTAGATGGGTAAAACAATTGCTAAAACAATTCCATACGAAATACCTCCAGAAATTGGTACAAGGGAAGGATTAGCAGGCATTGTTTTGTTTTTTTTGTTTTCCAGGTTTCCTTTCCTTCTTGGGGGGGGGGCGATCTGTCAAGCTATGAAACCTACTGTCTTTAGGAGCTCTGTATACTTCTAGCTTGCCAACAATGCAAGAGGGAATAAGGGGAGAGTTTTGAATCCCCACAGGTGTTCCTTATCAACATAAGAGCCAAAGCTGTTGAAGAGTGGTTTTGGTGAACTAAAGTTTCTTCTAATAATAATTACTGGAAGATATATAAACAATGTGACCTGAACTGTCAGAGAGGGGAGGGAAAATACAAAGTGCTAAAATATATTGTATGTAGGTCCTAATAAGGCAGGACCTCCCATCCATTATTATTATTATACACAAAAGTGTGAAATCACAACTACTAGTTCTTCATCTAGTGTTGACCTTCATACAGGTAGTTCTTCAGCTGATGTTGGCCTTATTTCTTTCTAAGAATCTAGGATGTCTTAATGTATCAGCATAATATGTTTGTGGATCTTTTATAATTGAGGTGGAAATTTTGTCAATGTACAAATTTTCTAAGTGCTATCCAAGATATTTTGATATGGCACCTGGTGTGCTGATAACCACTGGGACCAGCACAGCCAATTTATACTATAATCACTCCACTTTGATTTTTTTTTAAACACAGTTGTATAGTAGTCACATGTAAAGGTTTTTATTCTTCCCCCTTATTTGAATCTTTTAATGCATCCCCTTCAAATAAACATATTCTTGGTTTTGAACCTAATTTTAGAACACAATTATTGAGAAATAATGGATAGTCTTGCTTTTTTTAAAAATTGGACCATTTTTCCTACTTTAAATAAGTTTGGGGATGGATCTATGTTATATATGTAATTTGCCATCACATCTGAATTACAATGCATCTTAAATAATTTTCTCAAATTCTACCCCCCCCCCCTCTTATTATTTTGTTTGGTAATAGATCCTCTTTTGTGGCATGGAAATATCCAGCACAGAACCATTCAGTGACTGACATGGGTTACTTCAGCTTTTTGTTTTCAATTCTTACAGGTAATTGCTACAGATTTACTATCATAATGTTGCTGGAGTATTTGGAAGACAAATTTTGCATAAAATGTATTTATTTTCACTTGCTGACCTCGCTTGAATTTAGTTATCTGTTCTATGTTTTCTGTTGCATTCTATTTCCATTAATCCAAATGATAAACATATTCTTTATTGTTCCAAATGTGCAGCCATATTTGAAGTACTGGTCAGTTTCAGAATAAAGAGCAGTAAAATTAAAACGTTAGAAGTTGCTGAAACTCCCCAAATAATTGCTATAAACATGGCTTGCGGGAAATAGAAATAAGAAATAAGGCTAGGCAGGCCTTTAAACTGTTTTTAATAAACTTATGTTATTCAAAGAGAAATTCAGTGATTAGTAAAATATTTTTGCAGATCTGAACTTCATAATCAATCGTAGTCATTATTCTCCAGAATTTTACCAGAATTTGATTCAGTCTTGATTCTTTTTTATATGACAGCATTCCTTATAGGTGGTCCTTGCTTAATGACCACTCGCTCAACGTCTGTTCAAATTTGCAAATGGCATTGAAGAAATGGTACTTCTGCTATTTATAGTGTCCCTAGAATCATGTGATCTAGTCCTAAAATTAGATGAAAAGGATCAAGCTAATTAAATAAACACACTTATTCATTTATTTATGGAGCAAAATGATCCAAAGCTACAAATTTACATTTCAAATTTCTTTACTAGAGTCTTTGAGAAGACTTTCCAAAGCTACATATTTGTATGCATTAAAAGTATGCTATGTTTGCTTTCGGTAACCAGTATGTTCCCCTTGGGCAGCAATAATTGCTGCCATTCTAAAACATTAACTTTCTTATACTTTAATCATTATTTGGTTGTACAGTGTGTATTTTGGCTTATTATCTTGCTGTATGACCCACTTACTTTTGAGCTTTAGTTCACAAACAGCTATTTGGAAATAGTTCTGTAAATGCTTCCAGCCTGTGAGTTTCAAGATTCTAGAAATCTTTGCTTCAGCCAATAAGATCAGAATTTGATAGCAAAATTCTGTTCTTTAAATAAGGCAAGACCTCCCTTACTCACACCCAATTCCCATCTCAATGGTTGAAACACCTGGCACTAATTTTCTTTTCAAATGAACGGATAATCCTAGAGGTTTGCATACTTTTGCCACACAGAAATACTGTATGTAGCTTTGGGTCATTTTCTCAATTAAAAAAATGAACTAATTTTATTTTTCTCATTTGTTTAATTCGGTTTTCTATATGCTTGGAGGGAAGCATGCCATGAAGTCTCTCAAGGTTCTGACTTTGGCCCAATGCTCTTCAATATCTTCATAAATGATCAGGATGAGGGCATTGAGTAGGCATTTATCAAACTTGCATATAACACCAAGCTGAAGGATCTTGACAAACTGAGCATCAGACCCTATCCAACAAGATGCAGTTCAGTGATGAGAAAAATAATCTCCGCCTAGATCAGTGGTTCTCAACCTGTGGGTCGGGACCCCATTTGGGGTCAAACGACCATTTCACGGGGGTCGCCAAACAAGGCTGTCCGCCATTTTTTTCCCCTTTTCTTTGGCCACGCCCCTGGCACCCGGTGATGTATAAGTGGTTGGGGGTCACCACAACATGGGGAACTGTATTATGGGGTCGCGGCATTAGAAAGGTTGAGAACCACTGGCCTAGATGCAGGATAAATCAAATACATAATAGGCAGCACCTGGCTCAGCAGTAGTACTTGTAAGAAGGATCTAATAGATATCCTAGTAGACCACTGCTTAAGTATGAGTCAGCAATGTGCCACAACTGTCAAAAAAGCCAATGCTGCATTAACACAGGGATTGCATCAAGATAACGAGAAGTCATAGTACTGCTTTATACTGCTCTGGAATATTGCATCCACAATATAGAAAATATGCTGAGGGCCTTAGAAAGGGTGCAGAGAAGAGTAACAAAGATGGTAAGGGTTTTGGAGACTAAAGTGTATGAAGAAGGAAACTAGATATGTTTAGCCTAATGAAGAGATGTAAGTACTAGAAGGTGACATAGCTATCTTCTAATACCCGAAGGATTGTCACAAGGAAGAAAGGGTCTGATTATTCTTCATAGCACCTAAGGGCAGGACAAGAAGTAAGGGATGGAAGATTATTAAAAATAGATTCAGCCTAGAATTAAGGAGAAATTTCTTGAGAGTGAGAACAGTTAAATCGGTTGAATAGTTTGCCTTTTGAAGTTGTGGGTGCTCCATCATCTTTCAAGAAAAGATTGGACAACCATTTGATCTGAATGGTATAAGAACTCCTGCCTTGGGCAGGAGATTGGACTAGGAAACCTTAAAGGTCCCTTCCAGCCCTATGATCCTATGGTTTTTGTTTTAGGATTTGAGTAAAGAATAGATCATGTTTTAGGCTATATTTATGGAGAAAGATTGAAAGAGTTCACAAACCTTTAAATAACACTGTAATCATTTATTAAATGAAGTGAAACATTGAATGTTGAGTTTCTATTTTGTTTGTAAGAACCATAGAGAAAAGTAATAGCTATTCACTTTGAAATGTGCTCCTAATAGGATTCTTTATCATCATTTTCAGGTTTTTCCAGTGAAGAATTGAGTAACCTTCAGAACATTAGGGGAAAACCACACATAAACCAAACACTGCTCTCTCCTGTCCAACTCTATTTAACAGATTTGGAGCAATTTTCATATCATTGGACTATGGCAGAGGTAAAATTTTCTACACTGAAAAGAATCTTCCTGATTTTGCATTTATCCTAAAATGAAGTTTTTATGCACTTACTGTTAGTGAGAAATTGATCTTGTAAGGACCTGCCTCAATCCCTCTTCCCAAGAAAGCAGAACTCCTGAACAGCTTCATTCCAAAAGGAACTTTTATTAGGAGAAATTAACAGCAGGCATAAAAGGCAGGATCGGAGAGTTTCCCGCAAGAATCAATAGGTTAAAAGAGTAACTGGTAAACCCCATCCCAATAGTCAGTTTGGCCAGTTCAAACAGCCCAATCCCCAGGTGTGAATCTGCTGTGGGAACAGAATTGATAAGGCGCCGTTCCCAAGGCTTTTAGATTGTTAGGTCTTCACGCCTCTTCTTCCACAGCGAGAGATAAGGCAGATGGCCAGAGGCACATTCTATTTTCACCTCAAGCCGGCATTAAGGAAAATAGATCAAAGAGCAAGTAGAGAAAGTTAAGCAGAGAGGATACATTGTAGCACCCATAGCTCCCTTCTCCCCCCAGGGTTATGGCAGAACTCACAAGAAGAAAGAAATCAACCCCCACCCAACAACCGGGTTCTGACAGATCTGTTTGATGAAAGTGAAATGTAAGATGTAAATATAAAAATATAAAATATTAATACTTTTATCTTAATATTTTATATTTATATAACATATATTTTAAGCCACTCAGAGTGCCTTGCAGTGAGATGGGTGGCAAACAAATTTAATAATAATAATAATAAGAGGCTAATTCTGGGTGCAGAAGACCAAGTTTAAGAACAAATGCATACAAAGCCAGAACTGAGAAAACATCAAATGTCACCTCTACAAAGAAGCTGAAGAAACCGGACCATCTGGTTAGCTGTTGCAAGAAGCTCACAAAGACTGAGTACCAAAAAATGGTATGACAGAGTAGTAACAACTGTGCATTGGAAGATCTGCAAGAAATACCATTTGCCTACAAGCAAGAACTGGTGGGACCAAAAAAATAGAGAATGTCGTAGAAAATGAAGAAGCTAAAATGCTCTGGTACTTTAGAATTAATACAAACAGACATCTTCCACATAACACACCAGACTTAGCAATTATTGATAAGAAAGACAAAAAAGTCTGAATAGTGGATGTCACGTGGCACTACCTGAGACAGCAGAATAGAAGAGAAGAAACTGGAGATGATAACAAAATACAAAGACCAGCAAATAGAAGTAGAACAAAAGAAATCAAAGATAGTACCAAATGTAATAGTCACCTTGGGTGCAATCTGAAAACAACTGAAGCACCATTTGAACAGTATTGACATTGATAAATTCACGATTAGTCAGTTGCAAAAGACTGCTTTGCTTGGAACAGCTTACATTCTGCAACCAACTATTAAGACTATCAAATATCTACATCTATGTATCCCAGGTTGTTGAGAAGGACTTGATTGGTAGATAAATTATTAAATCCATACTGAACATCTGGCTGACTGTGCAATGAACCAAACAACAGTAATTATATAAAATATAAAAGGAAAAAGGAATGACATAGTACTATGCTAATAGGTTTGTACCATTTTGTTAATCAGTTAGCTAAAATGTGCAGAAAGTACATTACTATGGGACTTTAATTACCCTGACATTAACCTGGAAGATAAACTCTGTGCGGAATGGAATGTCAAACAAGTTCCTAAATAACCTAGCAGACAACCTAGTCATCCAAAAGGTAGAGGAGTAGAGGAAGGAACCAGAGGGTCAGGTGTACTGGACTTAATTCTTTCTAATAGGGATAAAATGATAGAAGGGGTTGAACTGGCAGGAATTTGGGAAGAGAGTGATTATATTGGAATTCAACATAATGCAGGGACAAGTATTTGAAAAAAGTCAAGAAGGCTAACTTCAACAAACTTAGAACTTAGGAAGGATTCCATAGATAGAGCTCTTGAAGGGGAAAACAACTCAAGTCAAATACAGTAAAAGGGGAAAAATATAAAAAATTGTAATAGGGACACAACTAAAACAGAATACTGTAAATAGCCCAAATCTGCAAGGATGAAGTCAGGAAAATTAAGCCTCAGAGTAACTAAAACTAGCAACAAATGCCAATAATAATAAAGCATGTAAAAAAGAAGGAAATGATTGGTCCATTAATGGGAGAGGACAGCAAAGTAATAATGGCTAGCAGGGAGGAAGCTGAACTGCTTAATTCATTCTTTATGCAAAAATAGTCCAACCTATCAAAAGCAGTACAGCAGAAGACAGAAGAGGAATACAAGTCAAATGGGCAAGAAAATGGTAACTGAATCATATCTTTCAAAGCTCCCGGAGCAATGGAAAACTGCCAGAGGACTGGAAAAATGTGGATGTGTTTCCTATCTTCAAAAGGGCTATGCACAGGAGATGCCCTCACAATCTGAGAGATTTGGAGTGCTTTTGCAAGGAAGATTCCCAAGGAAAATGTGCCCTGCTGAGAAGTTCCTACCCCAAAGGGCTGAACACTGTCATAAAGTCAAAAGGTGCTTCAACAAAATATTAGTTTAAGGGTGTGCACACTTATTCAATCACATTATTGTACGTTTTTTACTTTTACCCCCCTCCCCCCCAAAAAATATTTCAGTTTGTTTTTCTATTGAATTGTACAGCTAATATGTTATATTAAAGGTGGAAAGAATTCTGAAGTGATTGATGTTGGTCTGATTTTTTTTTTTTACATCTCAGAAACCTGGCATTTTAATAGCAGTGTGTAGACTTTTTATATCCACTATAGTTACATGTGGTTCTTGACTTAAGCGATCTTTTGAGATTACAACAGCTTTGGAATAGTAGCCTGAAGTCCTGTAAAGCAACTCTGCCTGTTGTAAGGTCGTATGATCACATGTCAAGCAGGTCAGGTTTATGACCAGATGTTTCATGGTTACCATAATTTGATTTTTCTTTTTGCTGGTTTCCATCAATAAACATCTAATTCTGCTGACTGCCAGCAGTTTGATTCCCACCTGCTCAAGGTTGACTAAGCCTTCCATCCTTCCTAGGTCTGTAAAATGTGGACCCAGATTGTTGGAGGCAATATGCTGACTGTGTAAACCGCTTAGAGAGGGCTGTAAAGCACTGTGAAGCAGTATATAAGTCTAAGTGCTATTGCTTTAGCTAACTATTCAAATAAATGGGCTTGCTTAATAATTGCTACACTCTTTTAAAAACTGCCACATTTTACTTAATGAAAAAGGCCAGAAATTATTGGTCATGTGGGTATTTCATTTTACAATCCTAACAATTTATGATTGCATTTCCAGTCCCAATTACAATCATAAATTGTACATACAAAATGATTGGGATGCTGATTTACTAAAGGCAGTGATTTTTTATTTGTAATTTTTAAATCTTTACCCTCTACATTCCTAAGATGATTGTTCTCTTTCCATCTTATTTGAATTTAATTTCCTATTAAATTAGACTTGTCAAGTTAGTCATCTAGCAAAGAAAGACTCCTGGCCCATTGTTTTTGCCAAGAGTATACTTTACTGAAGCTTAAGTGATTATAGAAGTAGTGAAGCTGAATCTGAGGTTTTCCTGCACAAACAATACAAAAATTTTCTTCTCCAACCCCTGCCAGCCATCACCCTGTTATCAATAAATGTCCAATTAGGTGCTTGTATATTGTTTAGGAAACAGGTTTTCGGTTCCCAGCTCTGCATTCCAATGGTTCTCCTTTGCTGGCTGAAGCTTCTCACAATTCAACTGGCTCAGCTGGGCTTCTATCCCCCCCACTTCCTCCCTACATTCCAATCTTTCCTTCCCCCATTGCTAATGTCAGCCTGTCAACTCATGAAACTTGGATAGGAAAGAGGCAACCATGATACTTTTGTTTTCATTCTCAAATCTCTGTCTATACTATCTACTTCTTTCCTTGCTTCAAAACAAGATCTTCACTTCATCTTACATAGTAAACAATGACTAGTCCTTAGGTCAGTGGTGGTGAACCTATGGCACACGTGCCAGAGGCGGCACTCAGAGCCCTCTCTATGGGCACGCACACCATGCCCTGGAGATGGCAACCGTCCCTCTTCAACCAGCTGCCCACTAACTTGCTGAGCTCCCATGTGGCCAGATGCATCCCAGCCCGGCTGGTTTCCCTCCCCCCATCCCATCCCTCCTGGTCTCGCATGTTCTCCTTTTCCCGGGCAGGACCCACTGCATTGCCTCCTCAGCTGTCGGCCGGCCATCCAGCTCAGAGGCAGCTTCTCTGAACTGCTGGTGGTGGGCTGCCAAGCCCCAGAGTGTGCTGGCCGATGGGCTGGCAGGCTGTGGCTGCTGACAGACACTGTTGGCCCCCATGCACTCGCCGGCCTCTGTGTGCGGAGGCCCGATGGTGTCAGGCAACAGCCACCCTGGCCCCTGCCTCACCTTGCCCTGCGACAATGGCACTCCCGCCCTGCCTCATCTTGCCTCGCCTCATCCTGCAGGATGAACCTCCTGCCCACCGCCCCATCCGCCAGAGACCCCCTGGATCTCCCCCAACCCTGCCTGGCCCCCACAGGCGTCCCTTTCCATGAGCAACTTCGAAGTGACCATGTCCACCTTGGCCACACCCACCCAGTCTGCCATGACCACCACAGCCATGCCCACCCAATGGGCCATGCCCACCTGGCACCCGGCAATAAATAAATGGGTTTTGAGTTGCAGTTTGGGCACTCGGTCTCTAAAAGGTTCACCATCATTGCCTTAGGTCAATTCATCCTTTCTCTTCGCCTTGATTCTTTATCTCATTAATATATCTCATTATCACTTTACAGCTCAATTTTTATACTTTTATTACCTTTACTAATTCTCTCTCTTGGTTAGTGCTGGTTAGTGCTATCTGAGCTTTCCTAATATTATATTTATAAATCTCAGCTATCTGTATCTGTTATTCGTGTATATACAGTTAACAGACGCTGTGAGCAATTTGTAAACTTACTAGATTT